AAAATTAATGCTTTTTATTGTAACCTTCCTAACCGCCCGGGCGATGTTAATCATATCATTATACAAGAACGATAAAGTTTTTTTACGGCTGACAATATTATGTATAATCGATTAAACATATCCATTCAATTATTTTGGTATTATATATATTGTTGGAACTGTTTAACTATCTTGTATGTACAACATAATATCTCATTGTGGTACTTATACCTTACCATCGTGTACGTACAAGAAAGTATCTTCACACAGCATACTATTGTGTACGTAGTAATAAGTTGTACGTACCAGAATGAGATGATATGCTGTACTTACAAGTATGATAAGTTGTACCATTTTAACCAGATAGCTTAGCAAATGTACCACTGTTGGTAATATGCACACCCTTACATGAGTTAATCAGCGTGGACATTTCAGATATATCATTGTCTACACTAGTGAATTGGTCAACAATTATAAAACGCGAGACTATATCAAGGGCGGGTCCAGGTGAGGGCGTAATGGGCGTACGCCCTCCCTTTTCCAAAAAAAAAGATTTTTTTTTTATCGTAATCTGCTAATATTGTATTGAATATGGCAATTTATCATATTCATTAATTAAAGACATACTCTGATAAATAAATAAAAATGTCAAACCATGACACTTCAACTATTAAATATACATGCTCCAAGTCAGGAACCGTTACAATAGTGCATTTCACAATTATTTTATGTTTTTTAGCAAAAAAAGGTCCAAAACAGATTTTATTACGCCCCCTCTTTCAAATATCCTAGAAACGCCCCTGTATAAAGCTAGTGGCCTTGGCTGTCGCACTGATTTGAACTTACCGTTTGTTTACCAACTTAGTGATGCCATGAGTAACTCATTAATTAAACAGCAACGATGTTATGGTGTTATTTGTTCTTTTGTACGACAAACGTACAATGTCTGAAGACTAGATTTATATTTTGACGGTGGACCTCTCGTATCCCCCTTGCGGGCGGGACGCCAAATTAGGTAATAATGAACAAGTCCCCTGTGGATTCATACATTTGTCATCACCAGGTTGCCCCTATAATAATACCATCTGACTTCTAAAACACGCTGTTGATAGAGAATTTGAACCAAAACTTAAATTTTCTTTCCAGTACACAAAAAAAGAGTCTTTGGGCCATACTTAAAATATGTTTTTTTGTTCTTGTTAGTTAAACATAAAAACAATCCTCAGAACACGGGAAATCGCTTCTGAGACGTCCTAGAAAACACATTTTTTGGGGGGGAGATCCCCCAAAACCCCCTTACGGGAAGGGGGTTTCTACCCTCCCCCTCCTCGCGCTACGCGCTCGGGCTGCTGCCTTTCGCAGCACACCGTTGACTATTGAGAAAAAAAATTCGGCCCCCCTTTTAGGAAATCCTGGATCCGCACTTGGGAGGTAGGGTCAGCAAAATACCTCGGAGTGAACATCCACAGCAGCCTAAGCTGGAATGACCACATCAATCAGGTCGCTAAGAAACCTAAACAACACCAGAGCTTTCTTACAACGTAACATCTGCCAGTGTCCATGAAACACCAAGGAACTGTGCTATAAGACACATGTAAGACCAATTATGGAGTATGCCAGTGTAATTCGGGATCCCTCCACAGCCAACAACATCAACAAACTCGAGATGGTGCAGCGTAGGTCAGCCAGATCTGTTACCGGCTGACTACCACACTACCAGCAGTGTGTCGTCTATGCTGCAACGACTCCAGTGGCCAACCCTTCAGGAGACCAATATCATCATGATGTACCGTATTGTATACCAACAAGTGGACATACCCGCTACACACCTCACCCCAGTGGCAGTAGCCATCAGGCTGTGGAACAGCCTACCAGCCAACGCCATAGCGTGCAACTCCCTGTAACAGTTTAAGGCTGAGCTGCAGCACACCAGGCTTCGATAGATAGGTCCCTCTTTACCTGCACTGTATATAGTTGTATTATCTGCACCACTTGCGGTTCTACTCACTGCGCACATGCAAGTACGTTAATACACCAGATGGTGGACTGTACTTTATTGGAAAAAAGAAGAAGATATCATATGGTTCACTCCCCCATAGTCACATGCTCAAGTCAAAATCCATTCTCCTGTAAAAGATATAACTGCTAAAAATTGCAAAATAATAATTAATATGAGGCAAAGAAGTAATTCCAACAGTGTGGACAAGTTTAGGTTGTCAAATTTTCGGAGCGATTCGCTCCTTTATCAAGACACAGTGAAACAGAACAGTTACATGTACATATACATCATATTACAAGAAGATAGAACTGAATATATATATATATATATATACGTCTCTACTCGTTATAACGAGATATTATTGGGATGTCCTCAATCAGCCAGCGTACTGAACCAAAATTGTCGCCAGATAATTTTATACACCCTTTATAAACCTTACCTTATCGCACAGTTAAGGATTTTAAATGAGTTATATACGTTAGTTGCATTTAGGTCGTGTATAAGCCCACGATGTAGTCTACCATTTTGGTTGTAAAGATGTTGGTTTTTTTTAAGAGAAAATAAAATAAGAGTGCCTGTGTGATACTGTGAGTTAATTAACGTGAAACGATTAAAACTATATATAGACTATATGTCAACTATAATTCTCGGAACTATGGTGATCTATTGTGATTTTCATAATCAGATTAGATTAGAATTTATTTCATAGTCGTCATCTCTACAACAAAACAAATGTTTGCCCCGAAAGGTTATCCGCAGATACGCTATCATCTCTATTTAAACTAACCAAAACAAATACACGTGGTGGTGTACTAAATATAGACCACTTCCGCCTAAACCGTTGCATCATGGGAAATAGGAGCAACTCTGCGATGGAAAGAAAACAAGTCGCGGACGTGTGTCAGCTGCTGAAGATTTAATGCATTCTCCAAGATGGCTTTAGACATAGCATCCTCCATGGAGCAAACAACAGTCACGTTTGAGCTGAAGGATGGTAGGTGAAACGCTCCACTGTAGACCGACCTGTTGTCCATGGCAGTTTCCCAAACGTCTAGCAGTCTCGTCAACAAACAGCTGATAGTTTTTCCCTGTTACGCTTTCTCTAGCCACAGTAGTTGTGGGATACAAAACTAATCTACGAACTCGATGTTAAATATAAATCTAAATGTTTCGTAGGGAACAATGTGTTTGTATATCGGATTGGTTTTACTTTCGTTCTGTTATTCATTCCTAAAATAGGGCTTATCCGTACCTTGCGTAGTGCACGTCTTTAAATCCACACTGTCCTGTCATTACTGGGCTTATATATAATAATTTATTGCACGTTTTGTGTCACTACATCCATGCACCAAGGAAACACCACTCAGTGCTGGGGAGAATTTTAAACTCCCACCCCATAATAGTCTCTGGATCTGCCACTGCAGCGGTGACAATATAAGCCTTTTATTATTAGACTGTGATTATCACGTAACAGGTCTGAATATTGAAAGCTTTTCACTTCTGTTATAATTTGTACAGTGTAACACTAGTACTTAGATCCAGTTGTCCTGTTAATATAAGTATGTAAATAACTATACTGACATCCTTTTTATAAAAAAAATAACAGATTACATAAAACTTCTGCACCCAAAAATAAGCAAAATCATAAACAAATATGTTAATTTGCATCCAGGTATAGTGGACAAAAAATATGTTAAATTTGCATCAGGTATATATATTGGGCAAGGGGTTTGTTAAAATGACCCAGTTGTTGGGTGTTCATCATGGAAGGGGGGGGGGGGGGGTAAATACCATACATTCAGACAAGTTTAAATATGATACTTAGTTCCCCCCCCCCCCCCCCTCAAAAAAAATCAGTTAAACAAAAATATGAAAATACCTTACAAGAGAATATTTTATTCTTTTCTTTTTTTGGCCATAATTCAGCACATGGAAATTTTACCCTCTAAAATGGGGTCTTAATAATAACTTTTTCTTTGTAACAGCTACTGGTCTGGAAGCATAGTGTAGTGTCACTATTCACCTACAATTTTGTGTTTAAGTACATATTGGGAAGGCAGATTGTCACATACTCAAATTAGGTCATGTGCATCCCTTTATACAGAGTTAAGGCCCCTTGTTTATATGGGAATATCTCAAAATATATGAAGTGGTAATGCTGTGTACTGATATAAGGTTTCATGTCCCACTATATACAGAGGTCAGGGACTATGGGTTGTACACAATATTATGAGTTGTTTCAAGTATGATTCAAACATTCTTAGCTCTTATACCACTGTAGACAATAATGAACTCATCCATATAAATGCATGGTAGAGTCTACTTAAGTAAATTGGGGGGGGGGGGGGGGCGATTAAGCATTTAGTGTTTTGCCTGCAGTGGGACAGGGCTCCTTATTAACTTTTACATTATTGACTCACTTCTATACTCTAATTAGATATCAATACAACATACTGTAGACAGGATATTTGTGTGGCATGTTATTTCCATGGGTCTCTACTCTCTAGGTGAATCTACAAATTCAAATTGATAGACATTTATGGTCATAAAGCACTACATATCTGATCATCTGGAAACACAAATTCACAATCCAAGATTTTCTGCATATTTATGAAAAACTGTAAAAACACCTGTTTGTAATGAAAGTTCTATTTATATAATGTATACAGAATTTTATATTTGTTTGTAATGAAAGTTTTATTTATATAATGTATACAGTATTTTATATTTGTTTGTAATGAAAGTTCTGTTTACACAAGGCATACAGTATTTTATATTTTAAATTCAGAAACAAATATTATTAAATTCTTTGATGTATTAAAAAAATATTGTTATTGGAATTGAATGATTTAGGAAATATTGGTAAGTAGCTAATATTGTTTTTTTCCTGTCATTATTTCCTTCAAGTTAGCTGATTGAATTCTTTTAAGAACAGCATATTAAGGAATATCATTAATTAGAAATTGTATCATACCATATTTTTTATATATTTGTATGCCATGATCCTATGGGGAACCATGGGTGGCATATAACATACTTTCAATATTCAACTTGACGTTTGTCTTTTACCTTTCAGTTTGGTTTGATGTTTTTATTTAGTATTTGTTTTTGTCGACCATTTGTTGGCCCTAATGACCTATCATGTGTTGGTGGGCTGTTAAGCATTGATAATAATAATAATAATTGTCAAAAAATAAAGGCTTTAGGGCAGTTGAATGGCAAGTTACAACAGCAATAAATGTATAGAGGATGCAAACTCAAGTCCAGAGTGTTGTTTGAATACAGGTCAAATCACTCATTCCTGAAAAGTCGGTCACACAATCCAAGTCAGTGGAGTATTTGTTAATAAGGATATATCCATCACCAGTTTACCAGTTTTCAAATATTAAAATACATACATTGTAGGTGATACATGACAAATATTCATACATGTTAATAATATGGCAATTCATGGCAAGTATTTATTTATAGTCCTCGTTATTTGTGAAAAACGACCCTTCCAAACACCTGAATAGAATAGTAAAGCTGAAAAAACCATGCTTTGACAACTTGAGCTACCTGTCCAGTAGGTGTGTTCAGCAGGAGGTCAACAGGTGGTAGTGATGCAGCAGCTTTCTCCCCTTGGGCAGATATTGGACTAACCCAAAGAGCCAGATTTGGACCAAGGCATTCTATTTCTTGGGTTGAACCACATTTGTAAACAATGCTGTGCTGGTTTTGTAACAGGTGTGTGTCAAAATGTAACATCAGGCTAACGGAGCACAGCATTGGAGACGATAAATACAATAGTTGATAATACCTATAAATTAACTCATTTACCCCTGAAGTTCCATAATGAACTTTTCTAATCTTTGAGTTCAAATGTGTCTTCAGGTGTGAATGAGTTAACAGAATATTTCCTAAGTGCTAATTTCGTCAGTGCTAGAAACTCAACTTCACACATATGCAATACATGTATTCAGGGATTGAAAGGTTCATTAGGAAAGTTGTTTCCAGTATACTTCACACTCACAATTTCACTATTATTGTAGAGTTTCTGTAAATTGTTCTTACTATAGCCTTATTTCATAAGTCATGTTTAAGTTACAGATCTATAGTCTTTTGTTAGTCTACTGTCCAAGATCTATGCGTTTCAGTATGAGATGAGGTATCATCACATGTGAAGATATTTTATTTCAAATATCAACATTCCAGTGGAGATATTAGTGTTTTAATATCACACTGATAATGTAATAATAATATGCCCATGCTTGGTGATAAGTCCAGCCCCCTGTTTTCTCTACTTTCCGTGCTTAGGGTTGGTGCCCATTAATAAGCCCATCCTCAAGTTTGTCAGCACTATGGAGAAAAAAAAAGAATTGTTGTTAGGGCTGCAACGATTACCATGTGTGCTTATCTGAACAGAAACCGGGTAACCGTGTGTGCTTATCTGAACAGAAACCGGTAACTGTGTGTACTTATCTGAACAGAAACTTGGTAACTGTGTGTGTTCATCTGAACAGAAACCGGGTAACCCTGTGTGTTCATCTGAACAGAAACTGGGTACCTGTGTGTGTTTATCTGAACAGAAACCGGGTAACCGTGTGTGTTTATCTTAACAGAAACCTGGTTACCGTGTGTGTTTATCTGAACAGAAACCGGATAACCGTGTGTGCTCATCTGAACAGAAACCGGGTACCTGTGTGTGTTTTTCTGAAAAGAAACCGGGTAACCGTGTGTGCTTATCTGAACAGAAACCGGGTAACCGTGTGTGCTTATCTGAACAGAAACCGGGTAACCGTGTGTGCTTTTCTGAACCGAAACTGGATAACCGTGTGTGTTTATCTGAACAGAAACCGGGTAACCGTGTTTGTTTATCTGAACAGAAACCGGGTAACCGTGTGTGCTTATCTGAACAGAAACCAGGTACCTGTGTGTGTTTATCTGAACAGAAACCGGGTACCTGTGTGTGCTTATCTGAACAGAAACCTGGTTACCGTGTGTGCTTATCTGAACAGAAATCGGGTAACCGTGTGTGCTTATCTGAACAGAAACCGAGTAACCGTGTGTGCTTATCTGAACAGAAACCGGTAACTGTGTGTGCTTATCTGAACAGAAATCGGGTAACGGTGTGTGTTCATCTGAACAGAACGCGGGTAACCGTGTGTTCATCTGAACAGAAACTGGGTACCCGTGTGTGTTTATCTGAACAGAAACTGGGTAACCGTGTGTGCTTATCTGAACCGATACTGGGTAACAGTGTGTGTTCATCTGAACAGAAACCGGGTAACCGTGTTTGTTTATCTGAACAAAAACTGGGTACCCGTGTGTGTTTATCTGAACCAAAACCGGGTAACCGTGTGTGTTGATCTGAACAGAAACTGGGTAACCCTGCGTGTTTATCTGAACCGAAACTGGGTAACCGTGTGTGTTTATCTGAACAGAAACCGGGTAACGGTGTGTGTTTATCTGAACAGAAACCGGGTAACCATGTTCTCTTGTGCAATGAAATACGGCTACCAATGATTTTTTTGATAAAAATATGATTACTTGATTCATTAAGTGCATAAACAAAGATAACTCAATACTTATGTCTTGTGAATACAGTTGTAAGACCTTGTAAATTCTCAAAATCTTTATGAAATGGTAACATATTGCTAAATTTTCATAGACTCCCTTTACTCTTATGTGTTGTTAACGCTATGAGCATGTATTTCTGTGCATCACTTCCGGTCAGAACACTGACGATAGCTGCCGGTGAATGATGACTTACATTGTTCAACAGAATGTCAGTCGATATTATGTTTACATTCAAAGTTAATTGTTTACATGATCTCAATAGTAAAGCAAGTATACTGATCACGAGTGTTTTCGAGGTCTGTCAATCAGCCATCAGGAGCGACATTTCTACCTGGGAAGTTGAGTAATACTGACCTACATTTTGGGATGGTTTACGGGTACATGGATTTGCAATATCAGTTATGCTAACCACCAGAATGTATAGAAACATTTTGCGGTGAATAAATGATCTTGACTTAATTAGGGATTAAACTACAAATAGATATTTCTAATTTTACATTGCAGAAATCTTTTAACTAAGTTATTTAAAAATATTATATATACAGTAATATAATAATTAAAAAATATTTTCAAAATGTTTAAGTATTAATGACACAGGAGACAGCGGTGGCATTAATGTCTGATATATATATAGTTCTGATATTCTGATATATATATAGTTCTGATATATATATAGTTCTAATATTCTGATATATATATAGTTCTGATATATATATAGTTCTGATATATATATATATAGTTCTGATATATATTTAGTTCTGATATATATATATAGTTCTGATATATATTTAGGTCTGATATATATATAGTTCTTTTCATTTTCAGTCAACCTTCATGACCAGGGAAAGAACAGTGTTGGTATGAAGGATTTTGAACTACTGAAAGTTCTAGGAACAGGAGGTAACAAAATGACATCAAAGTGTAAAAAACTGATATAAAATTGATTTTGCCATATGAACATCCGGTCTGAAAAGAGTGATTAATGAATATGAATGAATATACAACATTTGATATAGCGCCCTATCCAGCTAACATAAACCATATAAAGCGCTTTACAGTACATAGATATATAGTTAATACAATTAGCATATACATTAATCAATACAATTTTGAGGAATTCGCAGGAGCTGCCTTATGCTAACTACTAGTCCTATGCCACCTGGCTAATATCTCCCGATGTGTGTGTGCAGGAGATGTAATGTGTGTTCTGTTTGTAGTGGGACTGTGCTTCCAACGGCATCATTTATTATAGTGCCACCTCACTTGTAAGTTGAATGCTACAGCACAGATGCCGCAACATCCACCCCAGACCAATTTATACCCTACCTGGGTTGTTTTATTTTCCAGAAAAAAATCGTTCATTTGTGAAATTTGAAAAAAAAATGGAAAATAACTTAAAACATTTGTACAGAAGATTTTTTTTATTTGAATAACAGAAATGGGGTTAAAATGTGGCCACTTAATTGCATCCTGTGCATCTGTCTTTGATTTGTTTTGATGTGATGTTAGTATATGAGATTGCCATTTCATAAATTGGCAAATACTTCACAACTTAATATAAAGTTGATAACCAGGGTAAGTTTCCTTTAAAATTTGATCATAGATCATTAATGTGTCCTTGTATCTAATTCTGTGTATACTGATCAACCAGAGGGTTTTTTTTCAAGCCTATGGGAAAGTTTTCCTGGTAAGAAAAATTGGTGGAGCTGATGATAAAAAGTTGTATGCTATGAAAGTTCTTAAGAAGGCGGCAATTGTACAGAAAACGAAAACTACAGAACACACCAAGACTGAACGACAAGTGCTGGAGGTGATTCGACAGTCGCCATTCCTTGTCACGTTACACTACGCCTTCCAGACAAAAGCGAAACTTCATCTCATCCTAGGTAGGTGTTACATGCTATTCATTTTATAAGGAGATACTTAAGGAGGTATGCTACCTTACTGTTCACCTAGCTACTTTTTATAAGAGTTTCATAAAAGAAACATGTGAAGTGTCTTATCGGTCAGTAGTTTTACTTTCTGCTTCCCCAACATACTGTTCACCGATCCGCCTGTCGGTACAACATCGTGGTAAGATTTTGTGTGAGCTTCTTAACTGTTATTCTAGAAGTCCAATATTTGAAAAACATCTTGAGGAATACAATACCAATATTATTAAATGTAAGTCACTATGACCTATATTTTCCACTTCTCTTACTTTGGTAAGACTTTCTTGCTCTCTACTTCATTAACTTGCCGTCCAACAATCATTAAACTTAATACATAGTTACATCTTTAATTTCATACTATATCGGACCAGTAACAAAAAAAGTAGGGTTTATACATAGGGAATATATTTTATGTTGAATGACAAACTTTAATTTAAGTTTGAGGATTCAAGATAGCTTAAGGAGGCATGGTAGTCTAGTGGTAGGATGCTGGGCTTGTGACTTAAAGATTGTTGGATCGAGTCACGGCACAGCACTGTGTTGTATCTTTGAGCAAGATACTTTACTCTGCTTGTTCCAGTCTACTCAGCTGTAAATGAGTATGTGGTTGGGCAGTGCTAGAATTGTTCAATGCTAGCTGTAAGCGCCGAAATGGCAGCTCCGGCTGGATGCTCCCCTGGGAGTTGAGAAAGATATTGGCTGGTTGCAAAGGCCCTTTAACCACAGATAATAATTTGTGAATCGCTTTGAGACGACCTACAAACTGGGTTGTGATAAAGCGGTATATAAGAACCCCAAATTATTATAATTATCACTGCTGCAACTTTAAATTGGCTGAGAAAGTTACAGTTAAATATAAATTCTATTTGGCCTACTTTCTTGATTTGTTTTGGTAACAATAAACAGGGTACATACTTTAAATGTCGAAGAAGATTGTGGCCATGTTTTCTGATTTGTTGATCATGTATTTATCCTCACCAGTCGAGTTATATTTGGCAGATTTGAATTTCTTTCACAAAAATATATTTTGTTAATGTAGGACTAGTTCAGGTGACATTTATATCAACCCGTGTTAGAATTTGTATCTTTGACAGATTTTATTGAAATTTTGTACCCATCATCATTACACAGGAAAAATACATGTGAATTTCAGGTCAAATGTTCAGGACAATTTCACATGAAAAGAACCAAAAAATCAATTTCAGGTCAAATATTGACCTTAAATTTACATAAAATTTTCACCTAAATATCACATTTGCTTACAATTTTATTTTTGAGCATCCTATTAAACTATAAACTGTGACTTTACAGATTTAATCAGTATTGTTTTTGTTTGCAGATTATGTAAATGGAGGCGAACTTTTTACTCATCTAAATCAACATGACAAATTCACGGAAAAAGAAGTACGAATTTACATTGGTGAGATTGTTTTAGCTTTGGAGACACTTCACAGGGTGAGTTACTGGAGACTCTATAGTTTTGGCATCATGTGTTTGTAGTAGTGGTGAGGTTTATGGAAGAACACATTTAAAGAAATAACGAAAGAAGAATTTTCATGATGGATATTAGAAGAAAAAAATGTTATTATAAAGGACTTAACTCTTGATTTCGACTCCAAGAAAAGTTAACATTGATTCCATATAAGCTTTCCTTTTAAGGTCATGGATGTCTGCTATGTATTAGGTACTGTATGGGACCAGACTTAGATCCTTGTTTCTGCAGTATTTTATAATGGAATTCACTTTTCATAATTGTGCTTTGATGAGCAGCTTTGGAACTATTCATTAATATATTCACATATGTGTGGTAACTACACATTTATGTAATGCTAAAATCATTTTGCTTTAACTTTGGGACAGCTGGGGATTATCTACCGCGACATCAAACTGGAGAACCTTCTCCTGGACAACACAGGACACATCATCCTCACAGATTTTGGACTCAGTAAGGAATTTCTTCCTACAGAGGTGAGACATCATTCAGATTGCAAATAGTTTCTAAACTTGCAACAAGATTGTTCAAAATATTTGCCATTGTGTAGTTGGCAGAACAGAGTTGTCAAATTACTGAGAGATAATAATTTGGATCGATTGATTACGCCATTGAACACTGTAAAGGAATGTGTGAAATTGTTTCACTAGTGCGGAAAATGAAAAGTGGTTTGGAGGTTTACATAATGACCATAATTGTGATAACAGCAATAATTAAGTGGAATGCCAAATTTCGTGGTAATTTAAAGCTAAACATTGAAACAGGTCTGTGTTCTCACCCGAAATACCTGAAGAAGATAGGCGTTGTACATTATATCAACTGTATTGAAGATAAATATTTATGTCTGATTGCATGTGAATTTTATTCAGATGGCAGAGCTCATCTTTTTGAACAGATCGTGCCAGGTTTTAACTATTTTAATGCTGTACAGAAACTTGTTGTTTTAATCAACAAACCTAATTAACAATATATGTCTAAGCAAGCACAGTTCATAAGATGTATCATAGAGGAATGCAGTTTTTAGGTCACCTGTCTGTCATCCATCGTGTGTCGTGCGTAAACTTTTTACATTTTCAACTTCTCCTCAAGAACCTGTGCAGATTTTTTTAAAACTTGATCAGAATCATTCTTGGTAGATGCGGCTACAAAATTGCAAAATTGGGATTCCTACCCAAACCCCTGGGGCCAGGGTGTGTCCCAAAGTGAAAATTAACCAATATTTAACAAATCTTCTTCAGACTCAGACTCAGAGATACTATAGTCCATTTCTCTGCATAGATTGAAAGATCATCGGGGACTTTGTTTAAATCGTAAATTTCAGTACCCCTGGGCAATTGGTTCTCCTTTGGGGAGGGGGTAAAGTTTACTTTAGTTTATAAAGGGAAATAACTTTTTGGGGTATACTGTGTCAATTTTCAGTAGGAAATTATTCTTACTTGGTAAGAATCATCCTTGGAGGAAGATGATGTGAAATTGTAAATTTCAGTACCCCTCAATTGGTATACAAAAATTATAAGATACTTTTATCCTAAAATGAACACATTTTTTGTCTGGAAAACAGCATTGCTTGAGATGGCTTTCAGCTGTTATTATTTGTCTATAAATGTTTAATAACTAACCACAGCAAGGGATTGTTATACATTTTGTATGTATACTGTAGCATATGATCCCTAGTTTTGGTTGCATCATAAATGATCCTTCAATGCATTGTTAGTTTGACAACATTCGTCTATTGGGGGAAAAATTCCTGCTCTTTGAGAATTTCAGTTTTATGCTTCTACGAAAAAATTAACCAATTCGGGCAAGTGAGCTTATGTTATGGTGCGGCGTCGTCCGTCCGTCCGTCTGTCCGGCGTCAACTTTTTGCTTTAAACAACTTCTTTTCGGTAACCAAAAGGCCTAGGAAGATGATATTTGGCCAGTAGCACGCTGGGATCAAGGGCTACCAAGTTTGTTCAAATAAATGACCTTGACCAACTTTCAAGGTCACAGGGGTTGAAATATGTTAAAATCTTCAAACAACTTCTTCTCAATAACCAAAAGGCCCAGTGTACTGATATTGGGCCTGTAGCATGCTGGGATGAAGGGCTACCAAGTTTGTTCAAATAAATGACCTTGACCCACTTTCAAGGTCACAGGGGTCAAATATGTTAAAATCTTCAAACAACTTCTTCTCAATAACCAAAAGGCCCAGGGTACTGATATTGGGCCTGTAGCATGCTGGGATGAAGGGCTACCAAGTTTGTTTAATTGAATGACATTGACCCACTTTCAAGGTCACTGGGGTCAGATGTCCTAAAATCTTCCAAAAACTTCTTCTTAATAACCAAAAGGCCCAGGGTACTGATATTGGGCCTGTAGCATGCTGGGATGAAGGACTACCATGTTAGTTCAAATGAATGACCTTGATCCACTTTCAACCTAATGTCCTTGTTCCACAATCAAGGTCAGAGGCGTCATATGTTTAAATCTTTTAATAGGTTCTGATGAAATCTTAAGATTGCAAGTGTTAGATTAATAACAGGTGAGCGATGCAGGCCCATTGGGTCTCTTGTTAATAGGTGTTTTGATAAGGTTTAGGTTTACACCTCACCAAAAGAAAATTGAAATCAGAGGAGGGGCTATTTTAGAAACCAGGCCCTTTGGCTATATTGCTATTAACGACTTCTTATCTGGACCTCTGCACTGGATATCAATCATATTTGATTGGAAGCATTCATGGGAGGTTGGAATTCAAAATTATAAAAATGGAGGGGCTGACCCCCCAGGGATTGAGGGGCAAGACCAAAAAGAGTTATTTGTCTGTATTGGTTTTAAGTTATAAGTCTGTATTGGTTTTAAGTTATTTGTCTGTATTGGTTTTAAGTTATTAGTCTGGATTGGTTTTAAGTTATTTGTCTGTATTGGTTTTAAGCGATTTTTTTCTCTGGAACTAAGCAATAGATATCAACCATAATTGACTGGTAGCATACCTAGGTGGGTGGGATTAAAAATTGTACAAATAGTGGGGCTGACTTGGGGTGGGTCCAAAAGTGGGCAATTTGGTTATATTAATGCTAGCACTGGATATCAATCAAATTTGGTCAAAAGTATTCATGGGAGGCAGTAATTCAAAATGGTGCAATTGATGGTGCAATTGTACAAGTGGTGGGGCTGATGACCTAGGGGGCTGAGGGGCGGGGCCTAAAAGGTTAATTTGGCTATTTCTCTGGAACAAATTAAGCAATGGATATCAGCTATATTTTGTTGGAAGCACCCCTAACTAAAATAGTTTACAACACCCTATATCCATATATACAATTGCTGAGTATAAAGAGATGAATGCACATGCTTCCAAGATGTCTCCTGGGTCTGGCCCCACCCTTGGAGACTAAGTCCCTTGGTCATAATTTTGAAACGATTGAGATCCCCACCCCAAAACTAAATACATGTATGCAATTGCTCAGCGTAAAGAGACAAACAATCTGATATTTAGTTTTAGCATTGATCCCTGGGTCTGCCCACACCCTAGGGACCTAGATACAGGTCCCCTGGGCCTCTTGTTTAGTCTAAGCTCCTTTTTTTTAAGTATCGATAAACTAGGTTGTATTAATAACAAATATCTATAGTGTCTCATAAGCCTTAATAGTGTTAATATTATATTGTTTGCACATTATTAGATCATGCTTGCTTGTATGTATGCACTGTATGTAAAATTGACATATGACACTTTTAATGAAATAAGTTGTATTGTTAATATATGAACAGGTATTTTTCTGTCAAAAAATTTGACAGTCGGCTATAATGATTGCTTTGTTTGTGTTAATTACTTAATAAACAAGTTTACACTTAATATTTCAATTTTCCAGAATCACAGAGCGTATTCCTTTTGTGGAACAATAGAGTACATGGCCCCTGAGGTGGTGGAAGGTGGGAGGACGGGACATAACTATGTAAGTTCTTGTCACAGTCAAGTACAGTATAACCTGTCTAAACTGGCCCCTGTTTAATCCCAAACCCTGTCTATGTCAGCCTTGTTATTTAGTTCAGACATTTTCTCTATTGAATAATGGAAAGTCTAATCTGAACCCTGTCTACTCTGCACCCTGTCTAATCTAGACACTGTCTACTCTGGACACTGGCATTGTTTTACTGATCTTGCTGTATAAATAATTGTTAATATGCCCTGTTCATTCTACCTTTTCAATTTCCCTCTGTTGGCTTCCCCCTGCAAAAGTTTTATTGCAGACATCATTACACTGTTTACATTCTTTGCAAATACCAGGTAAAAAAACATGAAATTGATATATTTTCCTTCATTTTCTGTTTATAAATCAGTGTTAAAAAATACATTGGTTTTAACATACAGTCCAACCTCGTTATCTCGAAGTCGACATCCGAGTATTCGAGTTATGCGGGTTCATAAATTTGGTATGAAATTTGCTGTTGGGACAAACCACTAGCAGTTGTTGGTTTTGTTAATAGTTAATGCTTATAATCAATAGATAAATGATAAACGTAATCAATATAACAAATACAGCTATGTGATTTTACAATAAACACGCTTACAAAAATAGAGTAAGTTATTTCAGAAAAACGAACTTTCATTTTTAAACGCGATCCAAACAGTTGGACCATATTGTGAATTCGTTATTAAATATGGCCGGGCCTAGTGATTCATTGTTGTTTTTGGCTAGTATACATCTTGGTAAAGTCGTTCCAGGTCTGCATTTGTATTTGCAAGTCCCGTCAAGTTTTACTCCTGAAGTGTTACATTTAAAACCGAACTATCCCGCTGTCTCCGACCTCGTAGTTTACAATGCGAAAATGAAAGTGCGCAAGTCCAAAACAAATCACTGTAATGGAGCGTACGCATAGTTGATTCTGTAAATGAAAGCACACACAAACAAATTACATGTGACACATTGATTCATTAAAGCCAAATATGACACCTGACACCTCCTCAGCTCGATGTTATCAACAGCAATTATCGTATTGTTCTTAAATCTCTCGATCGACTTTCAAAGCCATACTGGCTCCTGTAAAAACATGAACCCGTTAAGCTGTTCTAGGTTGTGACTTTAACTGTGGAACTCTTTTATGCATGTTTTTGTGTACAAATCAGTAAACGGACTCGGAGTAAGTATTGATGCAGTTTGTTTTTTATTATGAAGCTTTATCGTAAATTCTTTTTTACCGATTTCATGCTAGTCTACTAACGAAAGATGCTCTTAACACGGAATGGCGAAATGTCGTACTTTTGCGTTTTATTTGTATCAAAGAATTAACAAGTGACAAAATGAATTTCGAACACTATGAAGTAGATGATGTTTTGATGTTGGATTAACGCTATTGAAACCAATATTTTACTTCGAGGTATCCAAGTTTTTCGACTTTTCAGGGTTCGAATTATCAGAGTTTTATTTACTAAGATAAAGAAGAGATTTGGCCGGGACCGGAGAAATACTTTGAGATAAACGGGGTCTTCGAGTTATACGAGTTCGAGATAACGAGGTTCGACTGTATGTATAAAAACGTCTAATATTAAAAATGTTGATATCCAATAAAACTGATGAAACCCTATATAAACGGGTGAATATTACAGTTTCAGTTTTATCTGATTAGTGATCACGGGACGTGATATAATTAGGAAATAATCAACATATCTGCGTGCATTATGGTGGAATATATAACGAGGGTGAGAAAATGTTATTAAAAATAATTAATGAAGGCCGCTTCGGCCCGAGTTAATTATTTTTCCAACATTTTCGAATCCCGAGTTATATATTCCACCATAATGCACGCACATTAGTTGATTATTTTTATTCTACCACATCAAATGTAACTAATTGTAAAGTTTTGCTGTCTTATAAGGCGACATGACCTAGATAATTCGATATGCAAATTAGACGCTGTTCTTTTGCGCGTGCAAGATTTATCACGCTATCGTGTTGCCTCGTTTTTACTTGATCAATGTCGTGCCAACATTTCTCAGTGCGTAGGGTTTGGATTACCGGATTGCGTTTACTTCTAAAACCATCATCATCGTACCGATATCAAGCAGAATTTCTTGGAAGTGCCAGTTATACAACATCATACGATAGGCCTGACATGAGTTTGCATATTTAGTTGGTTGCCATGATGTGACGGAAAGTCGCTGACCGGCTAATCATGATGCGACCTTCACCGACTTCACCGGACAGCTGTGTTTTGCAACCACTGTTCAGACCGATGCTACTTTTTGCAACATTATTCTTCACACATGGTATGTACACTGTAGGCGAATGCTCCACATCACTTTGATTTTTTGAAAGCAGACGACGTTTTGCAGACCAGAAACAACTGAACACATGTGACGTCAGATACGATGTTTATTTGAATCAATCAAACATTGGCACGCTATCGACATCGTTCGTCAAAACATGAAATCAACGCTTGACAGTACATACATACACTGCACACATCGTGAAATGTACGGCACTACCCAGTGAAGTAAAAAGAGAAGTAATTAATAATTTACCATTTTGTCTTCAGTCCTGTACATTTTAAATGTCAATAATTAATAAACCATATTCACTGCATGGACCCACATCCTTTAGGTCTATAGATCCGTGTAATCTTTTGAATGGCAGGCCTGTCAAATATTTTGATCCCGCCTGACAGTTATGCTATTTTTGTTAATTCATGGAAAATACGGGGAGTTTGTTGGAACAGCATGCGTGCGCACTATTTCACGTGCATTGGTTATTGGCACGCGCATGGTATATCGCTCAATAATGCACTCTTTTTAACCAATGAAAACCGTCGTTACATCACAGACGTGGTAGAATGTGAATTATTGACCTCGGAGAAAGATCAAATTTCTAATTCTGTAAGGTGTGTGTTTACAGGCTGTCGACTAGTGGTCACTAGGCTTGCTCACCTATGAACTATTGACCTCGGAGAAAGATCAAATTTCTAATGCTGTAAGGTTTATGTTTTCAGGCTGTCGACTGGTGGTCACTATGCGTGCTCACGTAGGAACTATTGACCTCGGAGAGAGCTCAGGGTTCTAATGCTGTAAGGTTTATGTTTACAGGCTTTCGACTGGTGGTCACTATGCGTGCTCACGTAGGAACTATTGACCTCGGAGAGAGATCAGGTTTCTAATGCCGTAAGGTTTATGTTTACAGGTTGTCGACTGGTGGTCACTAGGCGTGCTCACCTATGAACTATTGACTGGAGCATCACCTTTCACAGTGGACGGAGAGAAAAATACTCAGTCGGAAATCTCCAGGTATATAGGATACATTTGACATGAAATCCCTTTTATAAAAACACACAAATTACCCTGACCTTGTGGTGCTTATTCTGAGGCATCAGAGTATCATTAGCCATTTATGTACTAACTGACGCCTGAATGTAAGGAAGTGTTATAATTACTTTTTCATTTAAGGGTACAGAAATCTTAATTGTCAAAAAAAATCAAATGACTTTTAAAGAGTCACTGTTGTCATAAGCATCCTCCATATCAATTAATCTGGTCTGATTTGATGTGTTGTATTACCCTGTTCATACAAGGCCTGTATCAGTGCTATGTTGTATGACCCTGTTCATACAAGGCCTGTGTCAGTGCTATGTTGTATTACCCTGTTCATACAAGGCCTGTGTCAGTGCTATGTTGTATTACCCTGTTCATAGAAGGCCTGTATCAGTGCTGTGTTGTATTACCCTGTTCATACAAGGCCTGTGTCAGTGCTATGTTGTATTACCCTGTTCATACAAGGCCTGTGTCAGTGCTATGTTGTATTACCCTGTTCATAGAAGGCCTGTATCAGTGCTGTGTTGTATTACACTGTTCATACAAGGCCTGTGTCAGTGCTATGTTGTATTACCCTGTTCATAGAAGGCCTGTGTCAGTGCTGTGTTGTATTACCCTGTTCATACAAGGCCTGTGTCAGTGCTATGTTGTATTACCCTGTTCATACAAGGCCTGTGTCAGTGCAGCTGCTGTGTTGTATTACCCTGTTCAAACAAGGCCTGTGTCAGTGCTGTGTTGTATTACCCTGTTCATACAAGGCCTGTGTCAGTGCTGTGTTGTATTACCCTGTTCATACAAGGCCTGTGTCAGTGCTATGTTGTATTACCCTGTTCATACAAGGCCTGTGTCAGTGCAGCTGCTGTGTTGTATTACCCTGTTCATACAAGGCCTGTGTCAGTGCTGTGTTGTATTACCCTGTTCATACAAGGCCTGTGTCAGTGCTATGTTGTATTACCCTGTTCATACAAGGCCTGTGTCAGTGCAGCTGCTGTGTTGTATTACCCTGTTCATACAAGACCTGTGTCAATGCTGTGTTGTATTACCCTGTTCATAAAAGGCCTGTGTCAATGCTGTGTTGTATTACCCTGTTCATACAAGACCTGTGTCAATGCTGTGTTGTTTACCCTGTTCATACAACCCCTGTGTCAATGCTGTGGTGTATTGCCCTGTTCATACAAGGCCTGTGTCAATGCTATGTTGTATTACCCTGTTCATACAAGGCCTGTGTCAGTGCTATGTTGTGTTACCCTGTTCATACAAGACCTGTGTCAATGCTGTGTTGTTTACCCTGTTCATACAAGGCCTGTGTCAGTGCAGCTGCTGTGTTGTATAACCTTGTTCAGACAAGGCCTGTGTCAGTACTATGTTGTATTACCCTGTTCATACAAGGCCTGTGTCAGTGCTATGTTGTGTTACCCTGTTCATACAAGCCCTGTGTCAATGCTGTGTTGTTTACCCTGTGCATACAACCCCTGTGTCAATGCTGTGGTGTATCGCCCTGTTCATACAAGGCCTGTGTCAATGCTATGTTGTATTACCCTGTTCATAGAAGGCCTGTATCAGTGCTGTGTTGTATTACCCTGTTCATAGAAGGCCTGTGTCAGTGCTGTGTTGTATTACCCTGTTCCTAGAAGGCCTGTGTCAGTGCTATGTTGTATGACCCTTTATAGAAGGCCTGTATCAGTGCTGTGTTGTATTACACTGTTCATACAAGACCTGTGTCAATGCTGTGTTGTATTACCCTGCTCATACAAGGCCTGTGTCAATGCTGTGTTGTATTACCCTGTTCATAGAAGGCCTGTGTCAATGCTGTGTTGTATTACCCTGTTCATACATGTCCTGTTTCAGTGCAGCTGCTGTGTTGAATTACCCTGTTGAAACAAGGCCAGTGACAGAGCTATGTTGTATTACCCTGTTGATAGAAGGCCTGTGTCAGTGCTATGTTGTATTACCCTGTTCATAGAAGGCCTGTGTCAATGCTATGTTGTATTACCCTGTTCATAAAAGACCTGTGTCAATGCTGTGTTGTATTACCCTGTTCATACAAGGCCTGTATCAGTGCTGTGTTGTATTACCCTGTTCCTAGAAGGCCTGTGTCAGTGCTATGTTGTATGACCCTTTATAGAAGGCCTGTATCAGTGCTGTGTTGTATTACACTGTTCATACAAGACCTGTGTCAATGCTGTGTTGTATTACCCTGTTCATACAAAACCTGTGTCAATGCTGTGTTGTATTAACCTTATAGAAGGATATTGAAGGCCAACCCCCCAATGCCAAGTGAATTTTCAAGTGAAGTGCGGGACTTCATTCAGAAACTCTTAACAAAGGACCCAAACAAAAGACTTGGATCTGATGGAACAACTGGTATAAAGAAGCATAAATTTTTCAAGGTAAGAGATTAATCTCGGGTTTTTGAATTAACTTTGTATGAGATTATATAAACTTTGTTCGCAACAATTATGAAACAATGTGTATCATCTTTGTACAGGTGTAGGGCCTACAATGTTTAATTACCTGGCAATTATATTGCACATATATAGGGCCTGCAATGTTTAATTACCTGGCAATTATATTGCGCATATATAGGGCCCACAATGTTTAATTCTTTTGTACGTTGTGTAGAACCAGCAATGATTAATTACTTATATTGTTCAAACTCTACTGTACACATGTAGGGCATATAATGACTGACAAATCTCCTATACATATTTGAGCCTCGAGCAGTTGATAAGCTCCACTGTACTGTACATGTATTTGATAAGCTCCACTGTACTGTACATGTATTTGATAAGCTCCACTGTACTGTACATGTATTTGATAAGCTCCACTGTACTGTACATGTAGTTGATAAGCTCCACTGTACTGTACATGTATTTGATAAGCTCCACTGTACTGTACATGTATTTGATAAGCTCCACTGTACTGTACATGTATTTGATAAGCTCCACTGTACTGTACATGTATTTGATAAGCTCCACTGTACTGTACATGTATTTGATAAGCTCCACTGTACTGTACATGTATTTGATAAGCTCCACTGTACTGTACATGTAGTTGATAAGCTCCACTGTACTGTACATGTAGTTGATAAGCTCCACTGTACTGTACATGTATTTGATAAGCCCCACTGTACTGTACATGTATTTGATAAGCTCAACTGTACTGTACATGAATTTGATGAGCTCCACTGTACTGTACATGTATTTGATAAGCCCCACTGTACTGTACATGTATTTGATAAGCTCCACTGTACTGTACATGTATGCAGGGTGTCAATTGGGATAGACTAGCACAGAAGGAGGTACCAGCCCCATTTGTACCCAAGATTGACCACGAGTTGGATACTGGTAATTTTGCTGACGAGTTTATCAGAATGGATGCCATCGACTCCCCAGCAATTATTCCGATGGACTCCGAAAAAATATTTAAGGTTGGTGTTTTATACATTGAACAGTTTGCAAGAAGTTAGGATAACACATCTAAGCTCCCCACCCTAAAACATAGTAAGGGGAGGTTTACAGTTCATCTGTTTGTTTAAGTGTATATGTATAATGATTGGCTGTGCTCCAATGTATGTTGATATCTGATAAACTTGAGATATTTAAAATAACAACATGTGAAAATGTGGATGAGTAATTGAATATTTTATCTTTGATATGATTTTGCATTGTGATAATATTTGTCCACCTATGCTGTTCCTAGCGAGAATTGCCGTGTACATTTCAGGGTTACTCGTATATTGCACCGTCCATCATATTCAGTGAGAACATGGTCAGTTCTGAACTGTTAACGAGGTCTACTGAGAATCAGCCAGTCGACCATAAAATACAACTCGCTCGACATTTTAAAGTAAGGAACTTTTACTCTTTTTTTGTTTGCTCTTCGTTTAATTCCAGTTTTAGCCATGCGTAATTTTTCTGACACCACTAAGGTAGATACATTCTTCATGTGCTTGCGACTTCACAATCAAAACAAACTATTAACAACATTCTTTTTACAGAATAAATGATGAAGTCTCTCATTGATTTTCTGATGTGCCAAATAACTTTGGATTACCATGTACACTTCTTCAAAAACATGTCTTTGTGTTAACAGGGCTGTGAGGTAAGGCAAGTACAGCTTCTGAACCAATATAACTCTATACAGAGTGGCGCCACTGACTTTCCTTTATGTCTGTTTTGAATTGTAAACACTGTGTTCTTATACCTACATGTTAACATTTCTATAAAAATTGCAGATCATCTTCATCACTTGTTTCATTAAGTTTTGATTACTCTTTGTACTGGACTAGTGAAATCCATCAGGAATCAATCCAGGGAAGGCCACCAAACTCTGGAACTAACGGAACACGGACAATGGATCTCATTTGCTTTGTATCATAACACAGGACAAGTACATCATACACAATCATTTTTCTTAATTATATTGAAAAGAATTTTTCTCTTTCCAGAATTCAACATTTTTTCAGCATTATGACATAGATCTAAAGAAACAGCCTCTAGGGGACGGAAGTTTCTCCATTTGCAGGTTAGTTCAGACTTGACAAATATTGATTTCTAAGATTCTAGTTTTTTTCACAAATTCTTATTTTTTTCATTGAATTTCAGAGGTTAGACCTGTACTGAATGAGTATTCATAAAGTTGACAGCACATGTTTGGATGTGCCTAATGCATATTCAAATATGTGCTATCAACCTCATGAATACTCATTGAGCATTCATGCGGTTGATATCACATATTTGAATATATACATGAATATTCATGAGATTGACAACCATGTTTAGATTTATTAGCGAAAGCAGATCTAGATTGTTTCATGGCAGCTTTGACCACCCCCACAATTCTGCCGCCTCCCCTTGTTGTTTAAAAAATGTTGCATTTTTGAAGAAAAAATGTTTAAAAAAAATAGAAACCCACATCCAGAAGAGAGAGAAAATAAAGAAACCCCTCTGTATAAATAATTCTATCTGCCATTGATGAATTCATTTTTATGCTCATCACAGAATGCAGAGCTAGAAATGTCACATGCTGTAACCTAGATTGGTTTCTACTTGCAGGGAGTGTTATCACAAGAAACTCGGGACAAAGTATGCCGTTAAGATTGTATCCAAGAGGGTGGACTGTTCAAGAGAGGTGCGGTTACTGAAGCTGTGCCAAGGACACCCTAACATTGTAGACTTTATAGAGGTGCACCAGGACGAGGTGAGTTCTAGGATCAATACTCATATCAACTTTTAGAGTATTAGGGCCTTGCATTGAAGATGAAAGTGCACTATAGTATTCACTATATCTGTCTGTCTGAGGTCCACATTTTGGTTTCAGGAGATAATCTCAAAATCATTTTGGTTTCAGGAGATAATCTCAAAATCCAAAAGACTTAAGTTTTCTGAAATTTGAAATGTGATACACTGTGATATATGGATGTGTAATAAGGGCTTAAAAAGTTTACAAGGTAAAGGTCACTGTTACTAAAAATAGACCATGGGGTTACCCTGTAATATGTAGAAATGCAATAGGGGTGTAAAAGGTTCCTAAAGTTAGGGTCAAGGTCATTTACTAGAAATAGACCATGGTGGGTATGGTCTTTATCTGAAGGTCATTTACTAGAAATAGACCATGGGGGGTATGGTCTTTATCTGTAGGTCATTTACTAGAAATAGACCATGGTGGGTATGGGCTTTATGTCAAGGTCATTTACTAGAAGTAGACCATGGTGGGTATGGTCTTTATCTCAGGGCATTTACTAGAAATAGACCATGGTGGGGATGGTCTTTATGTCAAGGTCATTTACTAGAAATAGACCATGGTGGGTATGGTCTTTATGTCGTTATCCAAAAGTCTTACCTTTTTGATATTTGGCATGGTGATACAGTCATATGTAGATGTGTACAGAGGGTTTTATAAAAAATTAAGGTCAATGTCCCTCCCTGTTACTAAAAATAGGCCATAGATGTGTACAGTCAGGCACATGACAGGTCCCTAGCTGACCTGTCTGAATAGGAGTTTTATACATGTATGCCATTTGTCTTTGTGTTTTAGGGGTTTTACCTATTTAATAAGTACATGTATAAGCTAATATTGAAGGGATGATATTGGTATCTGAAAATAGTTGTGAGACAAATACAATGCACTATCAGGAGTCATGTCCCACTATATAAAGACTATTGTCCCTTAGTTGACTTTCTATATCAAACTTTGTGTTGGAGACATTGAACTATCAGGAGTCATGTCCCACTATATAAAGACTATTATTGTCCCTTAGTTCACTTTCTATATCGAACTTTGTGTTGGAGACATTGAACTATCAGGAGTCATGTCCCACTATATAAAGACTATTATTGTCCCTTAGTTCACTTTCTATATCAAACTTTGTGTTGGAGACATTGAACTATCAGGAGTCATGTCCCACTATATAAAGACTATTGTCCCTTAGTTCACTTTCTATATCAAACTTTGTGTTGGAGACATTGAACTATCAGGAGTCATGTCCCACTATATAAAGACTATTGTCCCTTAGTTCACTTTCTATATCAAACTTTGTGTTGGAGACATTGAACTATCAGGAGTCATGTCCCACTATATAAAGACTATTGTCCCTTAGTTCACTTTCTATATCAAACTTTGTGTTGGAGACATTGAACTATCAGGAGTCATGTCCCACTATATAAAGACTATTGTCCCTTAGTTCACTTTCTATATCAAACTTTGTGTTGGAGACATTGAACTATCAGGAGTCATGTCCCACTATATAAAGACTATTGTCCCTTAGTTCACTTTCTATATCAAACTTTGTGTTGGAGACATTGAACTATCAGGAGTCATGTCCCACTATATAAAGACTATTGTCCCTTAGTTCACTTTCTATATCAAACTTTGTGTTGGAGACATTGAACTATCAGGAGTCATGTCCCACTATATAAAGACTATTGTCCCTTAGTTCACTTTCTATATCAAACTTTGTGTTGGAGACATTGAACTATCAGGAGTCATGTCCCACTATATAAAGACTATTGTCCCTTAGTTCACTTTCTATATCAAACTTTGTGTTGGAGACATTGAACTATCAGGAGTCATGTCCCACTATATAAAGACTATTGTCCCTTAGTTCACTTTCTATATCAAACTTTGTGTTGGAGACATTGAACTATCAGGAGTCATGTCCCACTATATAAAGACTATTGTCCCTTAGTTCACTTTCTATATCAAACTTTGTGTTGGAGACATTGAACTATCAGGAGTCATGTCCCACTATATAAAGACTATTGTCCCTTAGTTCACTTTCTATATCAAACTTTGTGTTGGAGACATTGAACTATCAGGAGTCATGTCCCACTATATAAAGACTATTGTCCCTTAGTTCACTTTCTATATCAAACTTTGTGTTGGAGACATTGAACTATCAGGAGTCATGTCCCACTATATAAAGACTATTGTCCCTTAGTTCACTTTCTATATCAAACTTTGTGTTGGAGACATTGAACTATCAGGAGTCATGTCCCACTATATAAAGACTATTGTCCCTTAGTTCACTTTCTATATCAAACTTTGTGTTGGAGACATTGAACTATCAGGAGTCATGTCCCACTATATAAAGACTGTTGTCCCTTAGTTCACTTTCTATATCAAACTTTGTGTTGGAGACATTGAACTATCAGGAGTCATGTCCCACTATATAAAGACTATTATTGTCACTTAGTTCACTTTCTATATCGAACTTTGTGTTGGAGACATTGAACTATCAGGAGTCGTGTCCCACTATATAAAGACTGTTGTCCCTTAGTTCACTTTCTATATCAAACTTTGTGTTGGAGACATTGAACTATCAGGAGTCATGTCCCACTATATAAAGACTATTGTCCCTTAGTTCATTTTCTGTATCAAACTTTGTGTTGGAGACATTGAACTATCAGGAGTCATGTCCCACTATATAAAGACTATT